CTGAAAGCCCAATTTTTTTTTATTCTATTGCTTTGAATTGTTTCTTACTGTTGATCCTTTTCACTTTTCTTGACGTCTCAAATGTGTTTTTTGACTGATGTTTAATACACTAAGTACCCAAGGTGGGTGCCGGTCGTAGGCCTCTGCTGTGTCTCCTGGTGCTCTTTTCCATGCGCCCCTGAAGAAGTACTAGGACCACAACCAGGGTGGGCTTCACGCACCCCCTGGGGCCAGCCCAGCCCGCACAAATGGTGGCCCCGAGCCCTCCTACCCTTGCACACCTTGCGCACAGGGCTGTCCTCTGCATGGGCTCCATACCCTCCTCGTGTCCAGACCAACCTCCCCTCAGCACCCCCAACCCTGACCCTGTTCAGCGTGAAGACCTCTGCAGGGGCCTAATGGTTGTGTTGGAGGGGCTGATCCCCTCCTGACCGGACATTCCCATGAGGCCTCCCCACCACACCCCCCACATCAGACACCTGGGCCCCCAGTCGAGGGCAGTGGGAGGAAAAGGTAAGCACAGGTCCTGCCCATCCCCTTCCTGCCTGAGCCCTCGTGCATCCCACTCCAGGCCTGGAAACCCTGGAAGCCACAGGTAGTGGGGCAAGATGGGTGGGAGTAAAGAAGGAGCTAGCCCTAAAAGCCTGGCAGCAAAAGCCTGGCAGGGCTGGCTCCAGCCACACCCCTGGAAAGAAAGGACAAGGACACCATCAGAAATTATTTGGACAAATGTCTCAAAACCATGATGTTCTTTCAGGAAACATCATAAGCTATCGGGAAGGTCTGATGCCTCCCAGAAACAGAGGCTCAGAGAAGTGCCTGCCTTCTGGGCTCAGATGGGCAGCATGGGGGTGAGGAGGCTGGCACAGGGGCTATTGGTAAGACCCAAAGAACTGGGAAGGAAGGCCCAGTGGCCAACGGGCCACCTTGCCAGGCCATCTTTTAGGTTACGGACCTGAGCACAGGGCAGGCTGCAAAGCTGGTGACCCGGGTCTGGTGACTCCTGCAGGCTCTCAGGTGGAGACTGCCCACCTACTCCTTAGCGGGGTGGCCACCTTGTGGGATGGGCCTCCCCTGCAGGGACAGCCACCACCACTGCCCTGCCTGGGGCAGACGGGGACAAGATTACCTGGAGACTCCTCCCCGGCCACTCGACCTTCAGTCCCTGCAGGGGCACCCTCAGTAAGCACTCACAGCCTGTGGAGTTGGGGAGTTCCTTCTCCCTTAGGAAGGACAGGAGCAAATGAGAAGAAAGGCTCACAGCATCCTGGGCCTCCCAGCTCGGGTGAAGAATGGCTGTGTGCGTGGAGAGATGTCCTGATATCCAAGCCAGGGCTCACAACAGTGCACTCCAAATAAGAAGTGTTGATGTGGAGAGTCTCCCATAGAGAAGGTGGCGCTTAATCCAACCCCTATGCCTTCACCGCCCCTTGAGGCCGGGCTAGACTTAGTGACTCACTTCCAAGGAACAAAGCAGGGAAAGAGAAACACAGTAGATTTCTTTTTTTTTTTCCTAAAGATTTTATTTGTCAGAAAGAGAGAGAGTGAGCTTGCACAAGCAGGGGAGCGGCAGGCTGAGGGAGAGACGCGGGGCTCGATCCCAGGACCCGAGCTGAAGGCAGACGCTTAACCAACTGCGCCACCCGGGTGCCCCCAAACAGTAAATTTCTATGGAGAAGCCTGATAGCACCTAAGCAAGTGATGAAGGGGAACAGCACCAGTGATGTGTGGATGCCAGCCTCCCCCCGACCCCCCCCACCCCCCCCACCATAGGGAGCAAGGAGAAGGGGGCTCTACCTCTGTCAGGTCCTTACCCAAACCCCATGTCCCCGGTCTAATCACAAGCTGAATGTCAGATAAACCCAGCCTGGGGGATGTCCTGCAGGATGCCTGGCCAGCACTCCAGATCGTCAAGGTCATGAAGAACAAGGAAAGACTCAAAACCCGTCACAGACTAGTGAAGACTAAGGAGACACATTGATTCAATCTCCGTGTGGTATTCTGGATTGCATCCTGGAACAGGAAGAAGACAATGGAAAAACTGGTGAAGTCTAAATAAAGGCTAGAGTTCATGTATTTTTCTTAGCTTTGACAAATATGCCTCTGTTATGTAAGATTAGGGGAAGCTGGGTGAAGGGTAGATACAAACTGTCATTGTAACCTTCCTGTAAATCTAAAGTTATTCCAAAATTTAAAATGTATTTATTTTTTAAAAGTGCACTTGATCTCCAGTTTGTACAGATGTGTGTGTGAGCACAGCACGCACAGAGATTGTTACGGAGGGACAAGGGGGTTTGTCTTTTTTTCCCCTTGTCCATATTTTCTGATCTGTCTGCAGTGGGCATGTATGGCTTCTTAAAGTTCCCATCTCCACCAACTAGCCATGGGTATCCTCCACCAGCTGACTGCCCAGAGCTGACCCTCACAGTCCCCAGAAACTGGGGCAGATGCTAGACCCACAATGGGAGGACTCACAGGACCTTGACCTTGAGGATGTCGGGTCCCAGTGACTGGAAGCTCTAGGTCTCCTGGAGCTGCTTCTCAGCATTCCATTCATGCTCCCCCAGGGTCCTTGCACGGGGAGCGGGTACTGGGAATGGGGGCCTAGCCCTAACCCTGGAAGACTGAAAAGAAAGGATTATTTCTGCCTGTAGAGGAGACTATGGTCCTTGAGAACAGGGGTCAGCATGCAGGAGGGACCTGGCTCTCCCTGGAGGGACAGACAGACATATTGCTGTTTTAGCTAAGCCTTTATGTAAAAATTCAGATCTACCAGAGGGGTAATTCATCCTGGGATCCTTGAATGAGGAGCTTTTCTTCACTGTAGAAACACAGCTGTTTAGTTAAAGCCGATGAGCCCTGAGCCTCTGGCTCTCCAGTCCCAGACTAACAGGGGTAGCCATATGGTCATTTCCCTGGTGACCTGGACGCCTGTCTCTGCATCCCTGGCTCCCTGAGGTGCCCCAAGGAGACCTTCCTGCCTCTGTCATCTGCTTTACTGGGCAGATGTGTGCTCATCTACACACAGCAGGGGTGTTCGGGGAGTGGGTCTCCAGGGACTTAACCAGAAGGGGAACAGGAGTCTAGAACATTTATTTTAATACAACTTCCTCAGGTTTTCAGGGGGCTGGCACCAAAGGCTTCTCGGGGAGACAATGAGAGTCATATTTGAGAAACTAAAACTGTTTTACGTCATTTGGTTCTCTCCCCCGCAGCTCATCTTGGCAAACTAAACAATCACTGAATTGTTTCCGTGGAAACACCAAACTGTGATTTGGATTAGCAGACTCAAAATAGAAACAAGGCAACCTCAAGAATAAATAGGAGCTTTGGAACCTGCTAGTCACAAACTGCAAATTCAAGCCACAGCACAAGGCATGTGAGAAGCGGGGCCCATCCAGCCCTGTAAGAGGTCTCCAGGTCCCCTGGCCGCATCCCACCAGTGTCCCTGCCCAGGCCACTGGAACCCAGCTCTATATGCAGACTGGTAAGACTTTGTAAGGTGGGGGCTGGTCCATAGAAGCTCCTAGGACCTGCTGAGGAAGAAGGGATAGGAAAAAGGAGAGAGATGAGCCAATGGTTGAGCGAAGGTCAGCAAGGAGCAGAGAGCCACAGTGAGGCCTGAGAGCCAAGCAACAACTCTTTCAAAAGGACAATCCAGGGGTGGCCGTGGGCTGGAAATGTTGGCCCTCGCTTCAGCCTCGTCCAGATTGCCACGTTCTCCACATTCCTGGGCACGGCTGTCTGGCCACATGGACCTAGAGTCTGAAGTCTTGCCACGTGAGCTCCAGGGGCACTTCCAGTTAGTACGCCTCTGCTTCTGTGGGGCTCCAGCCAGCGCAACCAGGCCCTGGGGCCTGCCTTCTCAGCTTGGGCTCTCCGGGCTCCCCTCCCCCAGCCTTCTGCTCCCCCTCACTGGGGCGCTGGGGGCGCCACCTCCTGGCCCACCTACCCTGGCTCCTTGGACCCTCCACTTCTAATCTCAGGGCAAACCGCAAAGGGATCAGGAGACCAGGCAGAAGGGAACAGACAACCCCGGGGCAGGCGTCCCTCACCTGTGCACCCAGGAATGTGCTGAGAGGGCAGCAACACCAGCCTCCCACCGGAGGAGCTGTGAGCTGTTAGTGATCAAAGAAATTGAGGAAGAGGATTTGCAAAAGAGGCCTAATTCAGGCCAAGCTCCCTCTCCCCGAACGGCCAGGCTGGGGGCTCCCCGGGTCCGAGCGTGCCCGTCCGCTGACTGAAGCACCGAACGTTTAATACAGCAGTGACCATGGAGGAGGCACGCACACGAGGGAGGCCACTGCACCTGATTGTGGGTAATTACTGAAAAGGCTTTGAGCCCCAGACTATCTGAGGCTCTGGCAATGTGCTTTCTCCCTGGAGTATGTGGGAGAATGTTAATATTTTATGTTCCAGCTAAATATTTATAGAGTAGACAAAGTTTTACTTAGGAAATCTATTTGACAATGAATCCCAGCCTTAGTGGGGAAGGACTCTCTGTGCTTGGCCAGCTGGAAGATGACTGCTTTGATGAAGAGTTTTGGCCTAAGGCCTGGCATGAAAAAATTTTCAAAACTGCTCAACCCTTGTAGGGAGCAACTGTCTTTTTTTCTGGAGGCAGAAAGGCTATTTTCTGGGCCTTTTGGGTGGAAAGGGGTTGCTGGCATCTGGCCTGGGAAAGAAGAGGGCATATTGCAGGAGACAGGCCCCTCATCAGGAGCCCTCTGGAACTTCTGAGACAAAATGCCAAAAAGGGAAGTTGCAAAGGGATGCTGGAGAGACCTGACTTTGGGACAGGGCTGCAAGGAGCTGTTCAAATGGAAAGCAAGAAATCCCTGCTCTCAGTATTTGTCAAGTGTCTTCTCGTGTCAGACACTCTCCTGGGTGCTGAGGATACAGCAGGGATGAGGCAGATGCTGCCCTTGCTTCTGAGGTTTATATCCCACCCAGCAAGGCAGGTAAAACATATGTATGTGCATCAATACACCGTTTCAGATGGAGCTATGGGAGAGAATTAAAACAGGGTAAGGGAATGGGCAAGGAGTAGGGCAAGCTTCTGCAGAAGAGGTCACTAAAAGGCCTCTCTGTAGGTGACATTTAAATTGATACTTGAATGTCAAGACAATTAGGTGATGTGGTTTCCATCCTCAGATGTAGCTGGGGTCATTATCAGAGGGAGGCACCCCTAGGTGGCTCTCCGGGCCCTAGGTCCCTAGACCTCCCACGACATCCGCCCCTGTGTAGCCACATCTCTATCAGCATCCAAAGAACCAGAAACGTTGTGTGCTCTGGGGATGTGCCTGGGCTTTGTCACGCTCACCAGATCTGGCAGGAACACAGGAGTTTAAAAAAAAAAAGAAGTCTTAGGAATAAAATAAGAAACAGAATATCCTTTCCTGATGATTACCAGAGACAGGCGGTGTAATTTTAATTAACCCAGGCTTGTTAGGAGATAAATTTACTGCTCATTCTGCAAAAACACCCAGCTCATGGAACACTGAGTCACTTTGATCTTTGACTTCATAACAAAAAGAAATCCTTCTGAAGAAATACAGGATTTTTTTTTTTTAAAGATTTTATTTATTTGACAGAGAGAGACACAGCGAGAGAGGGAACACAAGCAGGGGGAGTGGGAGAGGGAGAAGCAGGCCTCCTGCAGAGCAGGGAGCCCGATGCGGGGCTGGATCCCAGGACCCCGGGACCATGACCTGAGCCGAAGGCAGACGCTTAACGACTGAGCCACCCAGGCACCCCAGAAATACAGGATTTCATAACTCACAACAGAATCAAAGAACAGAGGGTCCTGCTTTGGCAATCCAAAATTGGACAGACCCTTCAATGAGAAGGCCACAGTCATAAATATTGATGGAGTTCTCTCAACAGGGTCTCAACTTCGATTTACAACGATTAAACTTTTTTCTTTTTAATTTTTTAAAGATTTTTGTTGATTTGTTTGAGAGAGAGAGAAAGCACGAGCAGGGGGAGGGGCAGAGGGAGAGGGAGAAGCAGGCTCCCTGCTGAGCAGAAGGCAGCTGCCCAACTGGAGCCAGCCAGGCGCCCCAAAATGACTAAACTTTTCAACTTAGAGTAATAAAAGATTTCCCGATACAAACCCCTATGGCCTACAAGCCTTATGCTAACCGCCCAACAGCCACCTGTAGTCAGTTTGAGAAGGGCTGGAAGAAACCCGTGGTGTGGCTGGGCCCCTTCCTCGCAGGCCTCCCTTGCACAGGCAGAGCGACCCAGCAGGGAAGGCAGTAGAGGTTGGCAGAGGCCAGGGTGAACAGACATCCAGTGAGGCTCACAGGCAGAGAGAAGGTCGGGGCAGCCTGAGGCAGAGTCCAAGTCTGTACGCCCTTGGCCTCGGAAAGGGCAGCTGCCATTGCCTGGGGCTCCCAGCTACAGGCCACAGGACGCCCTTGGTCTGGAAACGGGAGTAAGAGCAGCTTAGGCTGGTGCCTGGTATCCCTGCCAAAGGTGTCAAAGGCAAATTAAACTCAGACTTTTGTGGGACACACACCCTTGAAAATAAAGAATGTAAAAATAAGAAAAAAATCAAGAACACTGTTTTCTTTTTTTTTTTCTTTTTCTTTTTTTCAAGATTTTATTTATTTATTTGAGACAGAGAGAATGAGATACAGAGAGCATGAGAGGGAGGAGGGTCAGAGGGAGAAGCAGGCTCCCTGCCGAGCAGGGAGCCCGATGCGGGACTCGATCCCGGGACTCGAGGATCATGACCTGAGCCGAAGGCAGTCGCTCAACCAACTGAGCCACCCAGGCGCCCAAGAACACTGTTTTCTATAAATGGCCCACTCAGAGGCCCTAGTGTCATTTACTACAGCCTTGAAAATGAGCAAAGACATGAATGGAACTAGAGGGTATTATGCTAAACTCAGTAAGTCAGTCAGAGAAAGACATACCATTTCACTCACATGTGGGATTTCAGAAACAAAACAGATGAACATAGGGGAAGTGAAGGAAAAATAAGATAAAATCAGAGAGGGAGATAAACCATAAGAGACTCTTAACTCTAGGGAACAAACAGGGTTGCTGGAGGGGACGGGGTGGGGGGATGGGGTAACTGGGTGATGGACATTAAGGAGCGCACGTGATATAATGCGCACAGGGTCTCATATGCAACCGATGAATAACTGAATCCAACCCCGCAACTAATGACACACTCTATGTTAACTAACTTGAATTTAAATAAAGAATATAAAAAAAAAAAAGAGAGAAGAAAATGGGCAGATTCTGGAAGCCAATCCATCCAGTGAGGATTTTTACTTTCAAACGATAAAGGAAGAGAAACCAGTCTGAGTAGGCTGTTTTTTATTCAAAATCATCTTGGGAGAAGCCTGCAGGATAAAAAGATGGTATGTATCTTATCCATTTGATTTTCTTAAGTTGATGGGAGATCACTTCAATAAACTTAATGAAAAAATATGCTTTTAAGTGTTTTGGTTTTTGTGGGGTTTCGAGAGAGAGAAAGAGAGCTTGAGTAGGGGGAGGCGCAGAGGGAGAGAGGGAGAGAGAGAGCTTAAGCAGGTTCCACGCTCAGTGCAGAGCCACATGTGGGGCTCAATCTCATAACCCTGAGATCATGACCTGAATGGAAATCGAGTCGGACGCTTAACCAACGGAGCCACCCACACGCCCCCTCCCCAAAACATATGCTTTTAAATGTTTTGTATGTTTTATTTTTTGTTACAAAATAAATATATATGTATAACAAAAATTCAAAACTTCTGCAAGATATAAATAGAAAGCCAAAGTTTCATATAAGCCCCATGCCCTCCGGAAATATTACTGGACCCTTAGATGCTCTCACCAGCTTGAAGAGTGGTTGAAAACAGAATGGGGACAAAGAGCCAGGAAGAAAATTGGGATTGGTTGGCTCGTGTACAGCGGCACTCTGGGCATTCATTGGGTGCATGTCACCTCTCTTTGATTGGCAGCTTAACATTCTCGGTTTCTCACACAAGAAGACTTGACTTAGTGTATTCTGTAATAATACCTCCACTGATCGAAAAATGCAAGTGCTCTGACAGTAAAACTGGATAAAAATAATAATAAAAAAACTACTGAGGCCTGGAAAGTTATTGTTTATGTGTAGGAAGTATTGTGAAGACCAAAAATGTGGTGTTGGGGAGTCATGGTGCCGCACCAATGGTTCTGAGAGAGCCCTTCCGCCACACAATATCCCTCCTTTCACCAGAAACAGCACCCTCCCCGCATGCCCTACACCCAGGCTGCTGCCCCGGCTCCTCACCACGGTCTTCACACGCTTCGCTCCGATACATAAAGATGTGTGTAGCTCTGAGGCCTGTCATGGGCGGCACCTGGTACCCAGAATGCCAGACCCATCCCGCCCTGACCCCCAGCAGGGCCTCTGAGCCCGGGCGCTCCCCTCGGCTTCGGGGGCTTTCTGCTGTTAGTCCCGGGGCGCTGTCATCTGTCTTTCCAGCTGAGACCAATAAACTATCAGCTGCAGACGTTTTGTGGGCTGGTCAGAAGCCATCATCACTGCTATCAAAACCCAGGTCATAGAGCACATTCTTGCTTGGCTCCCTGCACAGAGGGGGTTCTGAACTTCCCAGGCTGAGGTCGCTGAACCAGCTCATCTGGTGGTCCCCCTGGGAACTGGTGGAAAGCAGCCTGTCGTCTTGGGAAGAAGGCCCACCGAGTTGTAAGATGTTCCCTTGTGCTGCCCTCATCACCTTACTGCGCCTGACTATGCCTCCCAGAACAGGGCTGACTGGCTTTGTGGGGCTGCTGGGGCCCCTCAGATGCAGGGGCTGAGCAAGGGGCTTCTGCTGCTCCAGGGGGGGCCTTTGTGGGCCAGAAACTGGAGGCTGAGGATATTTAGAAATGAAAGCACAGGCTTTGCTAGGGACTTGTTCTTGCTTCCTGGCTAGAAGCCTGCCTCTGTGGGACTTCCGGGGCTGCTGCTTCTTGCCTGTCCCCCCCCTTCCCACGGTTCTGCCTTTCTGTGCAGCCGCCCCCCTTTGTTCACAAGGGTCACACGGAGACACACCTTCGGTTTGACATTTTTGGCAGGTGTTCTTAATGCTGGTTGCAAAGTTGTTCAAGTCCAGGGGTAGAAGCCTTGAGGCTCCTTGGGAAACCCAGTCCCTACCACCAGGAACTTCGGGGCCTGGGAAGCCGGAGCCATGGTTCTCTGAGCTGGTTTTAGGGAGGGTCCAGTTCTCGCAGTTGGTCTGTACTGCCCTGTCCTTGACTTGCCTGTTTCTTTTGCTGGTTCCAGCTGCCATCAGCGCAGCCTCTTCTTGGAGAGCATCACTTTTTGCTCCCTCACCACAGACACCAAACTCTCCAGGCTGCAGGGAACCCATACTCAGATTCTGTACAGCAGGGGGGGCCTGAGCCTGCCACAGAACTGGTTCCTCAGAAGCATATGTGTCCTGCCTGGTGAAATGGAGGCTCTGGGCCAGAGGTGGTGAGGTCTGGGAAGTGCTGTCTTTCACGTGCGTGGGGCCCCGAGGGGCTGAAATCAATCTCTTCAGCTCTGCCAGGACACTGGCCACATTCAGCTGGCCTAGCTGCTCACACAGCCGCTGGAAGTCCTTACTCTGCTGGGCAACTAAAACTTCAAGTTGCTTCAGGTCAGATTTCATTTCTATAAATTCTGCTTGTCTCTAGGGAAAGATAGTGAGAAAAGAGTTATGGACACTGCAATCAGAAGGCACAATGAAATGTGCAAACCAACCAAAGGATGTGCTAGCAGAACCAAAGCTTCTCCCTTGCTGGGTGCTTTACAGAGGAAGCATGGCAACATTCTGGAGCAGGGCCCCTTGGGTCCACATCATGCCAGAGGACCTTGGAGGAGGAAGTTGGTCCCACCCTGGTCCATTGCCAAGGGACCTATCTGGCTTCTGTTCTGGGCTGAAAAAAAAATTGCAGCTTTAAAGGTGTCTCTCTGGGTCTTAGTGACAAAGCTAAAAACATACTTGAGGAAAGAGGTTGGTATCCACACTTACAGCTTCAAATCTCTTCTGTATCTCAAAGATGACCTGCTCCATGTTGCCTTTGTCATGCACTGTTTCCAACACCAGATCACTCTGGGCCCGCACAGTCTCTTGTACTAAATACAGAAAGTTGACAATCACTTCACGAAGACTATGGCAATGCCCCACCCCGCGCAGACAATAAAGGGATGAGCTAGAATCAGGCATGGACCACCTGAGCCTGCTCTGCTGGTGCCCAGGACTCTCCAACCAGATCAGCCTTCGTGAGGAGAGGAAGCCCGAGAAGGGTGGTTCTTCCACCATTCCTTCTTCCCTCCCACCCCGAGAACATTCTGGCCCAGGCAGCCTCAATCTCAGCACCTCCTGGGGACTCTGAAACCTGCTGCCCAGATGATGGCACCAACCTCCTCCTTGGCCTACCTTTTTGGTTCTGTCCTCAGAATGAACTCTCCAGAATGTAGATATGATCATGCCTCCCCTGAAACCTGCACTGAAACTTTCAATAGCACCCCACTGGCCACTGGGTGAAGTCCAAATCTTTATTTATTTATTAAAGATTTTATTTATTCATTTGAGAGAGAAAGAGACAGAGCACAAGCAGGGGGAGAGGCAGAGGGAGAAACAGACTCCCCACCAAGCCAGGAGCCCGACACGGGGCTCAGTCCCAGGACCCGGAGATCGTGACTTGAGCCGAAGGCAGACACCCAACCATCTGAGCCACCCAGGCGCCCCAAAGTCCAAATTTTTAAATTGGCCATGAAGACCCAGGCTCACTTCTGCTTACCCTCTCTGTCCACCTCCACATCTCTGAGGTCTGTTTCCTATGCAATCTCTCTCTCACCATTGGCCTTGTGCATGCTGTTCCCTTGGCTTGGAGTACTTATGCTTCAGTCCCTTATCAACTCTACCCATTCCCCTCAATCACCACCTCAGTGCAACTAATTCCTTTTTTTTTTTTTTAAGATTTTATTTATTTGAGAGAGAGTGACAGAGAACCCGAGAAGGGGGAGGGGCAGAGGGACAAGCAGACTCCGCACTGAGCGGGGAGCCTGACACGGGGCTTGATCCTGGGACTCCGGGATCATGACCTGAGTCGAAGGTACGTGCTTAGCCGACTGAGCCACCCAGGTGCCCCTCAGTGCCACTAATTCCTATTCTTCCCTCTGCTCTCAGCAGTCACCTCCTTGGAAAATAGCATATCCTGGCTGGCTTGGGGGCTCCTTTTCTCTGCTGTTGGCACCATTTGTGTGCTCTACCATCACTTATCACCTATCACCCATCACTTATTTATCCCCTATTTACACTTGGGCTGCAATGAACTTGGTGACCTGAGTGCTAACCACTCAGGACTGATATTGATTCCTCTCTTTGGCATAGGGAGATTTTACACACACACACTTAACTAACACATTGTGTTGCAATCAATTATTGCCACCCTCTTGCTAAATGGCAGGTCATGTGAAGACACTCTTACATTTATTCAACAAATATTTGATGAGTATCTACTATATTCTATAAACTATTGTAAGTTGTATTGTAAGTTTATATTCATAAACTATTGTACATCTTAAATACATAACAAGTATAATTTACAAATAATCAGGAATAATACACCAGATATTCCTTTTATCTTCTCATAACTATCTAAAGGGTATTTCAAGATTCTTGACAATTTTTTTTTTCATTTTACATGGGTAAAAAACAATTTGGCAACAAGAGAGTGTTTAACTCTTCACAATAAATGGAAAATCAGAGTGACATCTGGTGATTAAAAAGACAGGATAACAAACTCAAATTTATAGGACACCTGGGTGGCTCAGTTGGTTAAGCGTCTGCCTTCGGCTCAGGTCATGGTCCCAGGGTCCTGGGATCGAGTCCCCCATCCGGCTCCTTGCTCAGCGGGGAGCCTGCTTCTCCCTCTGCCTGCCACGCCCCCTGCTTGTGCTCTCCCTCTCTATCTCTGACAAATAAATAAAATCTTTGGAAAAAAACAACACAAAAAACCCCTCAAATTTAGTCTTATTTGAAAGCTTGCCTCAATCTGACAGGTGCTTTGGTTAGTGTCCCCGTCTCACCCCCACTCCTTGTTCTAACTATTCTCTTTTTCCTCTCTTATCACCCCAAGGGCAGGAATTTAACACATGCTATCTAATAAAGCTTAAGTGATTTACTTCAGAGTTTCTCTTTAAAATAAAACATAATTCCTTTCCTAAAAGGAATCTTACATTTCAGATTTCTTATATTAACATAAATTCCAGATATATTGACAATTTTAGTATAATTAAGTAAATTGTAAAGTACAAGAAGGAAACATGGGAGAGACGTAGGGGAAGGCCTTTCTAAGCAAGACAAAACCCAGAAGCCATTAAAAAAAAAAAAAAAAAAAGACGAGTGAGTTGTATATACTTGTTAAGTTTATTCCTGAGTAGTTTATCTTCTGTGTTAGATTTATAAATGGCATCTTTTTTTCCCCATTACATTTTTTGTTAATTTCTGCTACCCAACTGAATTACCTTATGGTTTGTGGCACTTTACCAGTTGGTTCTCAGACTATCAAGGGAAAACATGAGGCTCAAAAAATGTCTATTAGAGATAGGAGGGGGTACCCAGATAACATAAAGAATCAAGAAGCAAAATGGCATCAAATATCTCAATAACCAAACTAACACTAGAAGACAATGGAGCTATGCCTTAGAAATCCTGAGGACAAAGCATTTCCCCCTAGGATTCTAGACCCATGTAGAGATAGAAGACATTTTCAAACATGCAGTGTATAAAAAGTTTCCCTCCCACATACTCTTTCTCAGAAGGCTACTGGAAGATGTGTATCACCAAACACAAGTATAAACCAAAGTCCAGTAAACAAAGGGATCCAAGACTGGGGATGAAAAAAAGAGGATCCTCAGAATGATGGTGAAGAGAAGTCCTAAGATTGGGACCTCAGGAGTCATCTGCCCGGTTTGGAGCTGGAAGACTGAGCTCCAGGCAGGACATCTCTAATGAGAAAATGAAACAGAAAGAATTCCTGATGTGTTTGAATGTATTATTTGGAGATTTACAGTTTTATCTGAAAATTATTATCAGATACTGTCCTAGGAACACAGAACAATCTTGAACAAAACTGTCTACTACATACATGAATTTCTGCAGTTTTGAAAAGGAAAAAATAAAAATAAAAAAGTAAATAAACATGTACATAAATAAATGAAAGCTGTAGGGGCGCTTGGGTGGCTCAGTCGTTGGGCATCTGCCTTCGGCTCAGGTCATGATCCCAGGGTCCTGGGATCGAGCCCCGCATCGGGCTCCCTGCTCCGCGGGAAGCCTGCTTCTCCCTCTCCCACTCCCCCTGCTTGTGTTCCTCTCTCGCTGTGTCTCTCTCTGTCAAATAAATAAATAAAATCTTTAAAAAAATAAATGAAAGCTGTAATAAATGCTATGATAGGGATTATAATAAAAATAACAGAGTGGGGGACACCTATTTCAGATAAGGTCATCGGAGATGGGTACATTTAAGGTGGAACTGGAAGGATTAAAGGAACTAGCCCTGCAAAGATGAGGGGAAGGTTATTCAGATAGAGAAAACAGCAAGTGCAAAGTAAAAGAGCCTGTTATGACTAGAAATAGACAAGCCAGTGTAGTCTTGCAAAATAGCAGTAAGAAACGATAAATTTTATGTTATGTGTATTTTACCACAGTAAAAAAAGAATTTTTTAGAAAGCAAATTTTCTATTACTCAATACAAAGTTAAATTCCATATGTCAACCACTTAGAAAAAGGCTGTTTACTTATGTTTAAGTACTGGATTCCTATTCCTAAACTCAATTAGTCAAATATTTTTCCAGACATCCTTGTAGATATTTGTAGTAGAAAGCAAATGTAATTATCCTATCCTAGATGAATTCCTAAATAGCAATGTTTCTTAGCAACAGTGAACATTACCAACCACAAAAGCAGAGAATGGGGAAGGCAAGCAAAGCGTTCAATTCCAGATTCAGTACTCAGAAAGCATCTATCTGTGGTCCCACATATTCTTTCCTTGTCCCCTGGGAAACGTATGTTTGGGATCTTCTCTTTCACAGGAGCTTTTGTATCAAGCTCATTACTTCCAAAGTCTATCTATCCCTTTCTTTTCCTTTTAAAAAGTTTTTTTTTTTAAGATTTTTTTAAATTTATTTATCTGAGAGAGAGAATGGGAGACAGAGAGCATGAGGGGGGAGGATCAGAGGGAGAAGCAGACTCCCTGCTGAGCAAGGAGCCTGATGCAGGACTCGATCCCGGGACTCCAGGATCATGACCTGAGCCGAAGGCAGTCGCCCAACCAACTGAGCCACCCAGGCGCCCCCCTTTTAAAAAGTTTTTAAGAAAATAACTCAAACCTATAACAGTATAAAAAGGTATGCAATGCAAAATTGATCGATTCTCTCCGATGCAGACCTTGGTTCCACTTCCTGGAATTTAACATTATGAGTGGTTTCTGGAACTTTGCATTGATACATTGATACATGTGCATATCCATGTATAGATTACAGAGCTTGTGTGTGTATATATGTGTATGGCTGTTCTCTAGAAGAGGACTCCTTTCATTTCTGCTTTGGCCATAAACATGAGGTATTTTTAGCTTTTTTGTAAAAATTCCATTTAAAATCCATTTCCATATTCTGGACAGTATCTCTGTTTTCTTTGAAGATGAATTTTTTATTCATTTCTATTTTAGCTATTTGACGAGGGCTCTACTGACATGAGATCAGATTCTGACACTTTTCCACTGATTGCCAGTGGTTTTCCTTTTACATATTGTGTAGTTTTGCTCTCCCTGCCATGCTGATGACAGCCTGCGGAAAGGTCTGGGAGCCTCCATGTGTAAGAAGAGATTGCTCAGTCTCCCATTTTCTTTGGGATACCCTTCCCAATTTTCACTAACTGGTCACACTCCTCCACAAGATGTGTCCTGGAGTAAATTATGTGCACACAAGCAGCACCTTGCTGTTATTACTTAACGATGAAGAGCTATTTCCATTTCAACATGATTCATAAAGATAGACCTCATTCTTCTTAATGATTATATGTGCCTTGCTTAGAAAGGCATTTCTCCACTCCAAAATTATAAAAATGCTGCCCATTTTTTCTTATAGTTATTTTTATGATTTAATCATTACACTTACTATATTGATTCATATGGAATTTATTTTTATGTATAGAGTTATCTATTTTCCAAAGAAGACATTTTCTGATTTTCTTTCTTTTTTAATTTTTTTAGGTAAGCTCCACACCCAGCATAGAGCCCAACGTGGGGCTTGAACTCACAACCCTGAGATGAGGAGTTGGATGCTTAACCGACTGAGCCACCCAGGTGCCCCCATTTTCTGATTTTCAATAGCATCCCCTCCTTTTTATTTTCCTAATGATCATATTTTTCAATAGAACTGATACCTATTAGGTGGTACTGCTCTTTACTAATTAATTAGCCCACCTAAACCTAAACTAAAGTAGGATGTAGATGGCCTTGGTAATTCATTCTATTACTCTGGTCTCCGCAGTCTTCAGCTGAAGCACAAGAGGAGTTAGATTAGATGGCTTTGAGTGATCCCCCTGGTTGAACAGGCAGACTGTGACTGGGGAAAGATTTCATGACCTCATTCTGTGAAGGCGCCCATTACATAATAACACAAGAGAGCACGTTCACACAATATCTTTCCCTTTCCCTTATGAGCTACAGTGAGTGCATACTGAAAGCTGCAGAATATACTGACTGGCAAATTCAGTGCTTCAGGCCAGCTAGACTGGGCCACACCATATGATGATAGAGGATTTGTCTGGTTCCTTTTTCAATGACTAACTTCCTGATCCTGATTGCTACCTGCCAAGAAAAGGAATGACTCTGAACAAGATACTTGTGCCATTTTCAAGAATGATCTGGCTTTCTAGGGGTGCCTGGGTAGCTCAGTTGGTTAAGCATCCGACTCTTTTGATTTCAGCTCAGGTTATGATCTCAGGGTCTTAGGATCAAGGCCTGCTTAATCCCAACTCAGGCTCCATGCTGAGTGTGGAGTCTGCTGGAGATTCTCTCTCTCCCTCTCTCTCTGTCCCTCCCCCTGCTCAAGCTCTCTAAATACATACATACATACATACATACATACATACATACATAAAACCTTAAAAAAAAAAAAAAAGAATGATCTGGCTTTGTAATTAACATGATGCCACAGTGTCTTTTACTGTTTGCCCTATCAAAGTGGCTCCTTCTCCTGAGTCTTATCCTCTAAAAAGGAACCATCAGGGTGAAGGATCAGGATCCCTATGCCTACTATAAACCAGACCCAGTTCTAGTCCCTGCTCTGCCTTGATCTTGTATTGGGAGCTTGGACACTTCCATTCCCTAGTCTGGGCTAAGAATGTCATATAATCCTCCTTTTTGTACTTTACCTAGTTTCAAATGTAGAAAGCAAAAAGAGTGCTTTCCTTGGTCACTTACAAATGAGTTATTCCATCATATACAAAGAAAGCACTCCTGATTTGCTTCTGCTCTTTGTCTTGCTACTTCTTGTGAGGGCAACAGTCCCAGGCTTCCAGAACTGATTTCCAAACAGATGCACAGTTGCCCTGTGTGTGGGATACCCAGGTTGGAAGCCAGCAGACAGTACAGTGCTTTTTTGCAGACAGATGGAGATTAATTTCTAAGCCACACAAAGGCATTAATTTTTGTAAATCATGAGCAATCCATTCCAAGGCATTTAAATAAGTTGACTTCAATTTGTTTAAAATAAAAAAATAAACACACAGACAAATGCAAACAAGTGCAGATGCAGTCATCATCTTGCTATTTCGTTGAGAAGCTGTTGGTTCTACAGAGGTGTCTGCCTAAGAAGAGCAGTGTTATGGCTCTCTTCTGTTTAGTAAGAGCCAGGACCCTGGTTTTATCTAAACATAAATCACTAATTGGTAGAGCAGGAGACTTTACAGATCACTAACTATAACTGAAATGGAGAAAGATGCTGTGATTCACTACAAAACAGCTCTCGTTGAAACCATGGCAGCAAGAAGATGATTAGGTGACTGGAGTATTTCTAACTCCTAAGGGAGCAGTCTTTATTTCTAAGTCCTAAGGGAACAATGTCTTTATAGATAGCACAGCCAGCAACTCATTAGGGACTCAGGGATGCTGTTGATTCACTTCAGGCAGTCAGATGAGAAATCTGGCAGAGTTACATATCCTGAGGCGGCGGGATTACTGGGTGGAGGAGTAGTGCTTCACAGAGGGCATCTAGGAACCAGGTACACTATGGAACCTCACCCCTGACAGAAACGTGGCTAGGGTCAGAAAGTTCAGTTCACTGCTCACTAGTGCCCTCTGCTGATAACCTCAAATACAAGATACTCACATGTCTTGGCCACAGTCTCCAAACAATCCAAAATAGATTGGCTTCTTGAGCTGAGATGTTCCTCAGACTTTTCCACAGATGTCTGCAACTAAGCAACCCCAAATTAAGAATGAATTCACAGACTATTGCCTTATTTTCCTAACTTGGAGTATTGTCATTTAGTGATAAAAAAGGTAGTTAAGGGGCGCCTGGGTGGCTCAGTCGTTAAGCGTCTGCCTTCGGCTCAGGTCATGATCCCAGGGTCCTGGGATCCAGCCCCACATCAGGCTCCCTGCTCTGCGGGAGGTCTGCTTCTCCCTCTCCCACTCCCCCTGCTTGTGCTCCCTCTCTTGCTGTGTCTCTCTCTGTCAAATAAATAAATAAAATCTTTTAAAAAAAAAAAAGGTAGTTAAAATACTGTTATCCTATATGAATTAAGGTCAATGCAATTAGTAAACTTCTTAAAATGTAAAATGTTTTAATTCCTTGACATGCAGCTATACTTACCCTGTGAATGCTTTCTCTGATATGGGAAATGAAGTTGTATAGAGTCTCACTAGAATAAGCGAGAAAAAATAAAATAAATCTTTGTGAAATATTGAAAAAGTCTGTAACAGAATTGATTCCATGAACATGGCAGGCCTTCACCTGGTATAGCATCAAAACAGTACTTGATTAGAGTTGGAGACTCAACCCTGAAAAATTTGTGTCCAGCTACAAAAAAAAAAAAAAAAGAGAACATAGACTTTTTGTGACCATTGCCAAGGCAAACCACTCTTCTTCTTTTTAAAATTTACTCTACATGTATCTTAAATAAGGTAAATATTAGCAACTCAAGTGGTTACTACAATAAAATAGATCAGCTTTCATTTTCATAGCAACAGTGTCTTCAGAAGATAGTGACTTCCTTCTGGTAGTCCAAAATTCCTGGAAACATCTTAGTCTAATGACTATTTCTTTGACTGTAAGAATGGGTAGAGATGATTCTGGGAGTAATATTAATTTCTTTTTTTAAAAGATTTTATTTATTTATTTTGAGAGAGAGAGAGAATAGGGGAAGGGACAGAGGGAGAGGGAGACAGAGAATCTCCAGCAGACTCCCCAGTGAGCATGGAACCCTACTCCAGCTTCATCTCATGACCCTGAGATTGTGACCTGAGAAGAATTAAAGAGTCAGAGGCTTAACCAACTGAGCCACCCAGGTGCCCCTCTTTTTTTCTTCCCAAAGATTTTATTTATTTATTTATTTGTTTGTTTATTTATTTATTTAAGAGAGAGAGAGTGAGTGGGGGTGGGGGAGAAGCAGAGGGAGAGGGAGAAAGAATCTGAATCAGACTCTGTGCTAAGTGCAGAGCCCACCCTGGGGCTCGATCTAACGACTGGGAGATCAAGACCTGAGCCAAAACCAAGAGTCAGATGCTTAACCAACTGAGCAACCCAGGCGCCCCAGCAATATTAATTTTTTTAAAAAGATTTTATTTATTTATTTGACAGAGAGAGAGACAGCGAGAGAGGGAACACAAGCAGGGGGAGTGGGAGAGGGAGAAGCAGGCTTCCCGCTGAGCAGGGAGCCTGATGCGGGGCTCGATCCCAGGACCCTGGGATCATGACCTGAGCCGAAGGCAGACTCTTAACGACTGAGCCACCCAGGCGCCCCAGCAATTTTAATTTTTAATGAAAAAGAAACTATAACAATTATTCCTCAAATATCCCACTTTTGAAAAGATTCAGACATGGATTGTCATTAAAATTTTTTTACAGGTTTTGTTTCTTCAATCTACACAATATAAATGCAAATATCAGTTTTTGAACCCTAATAGGACTACTCTTCATACCAAGTCTTTTGGATGCTCCACCAGACTGACTTTAAAAGAAGAATTTTGGGGCGGCTGGGTGGCTCAGTGGGTTAAGTGGCCAATTCTTGGTTTTGGCTCAGGTCGTGATCTTGGGGTCGTCAGATGGAGCCCCCTGTCGGGCTCCCTGCTCAGCGGGGAGTCTACTTGAGAGTCTCTCTCTGCCTCTGCCTCTACCCCTCCCCCTGCTCATGTGCTCTCTCTCTTTCTAAATGAATAAATAAAATCTTTTTAAAAAATAATAAAAGAATTTTATAGAACCATTAGGGGTCTACAAACCTTACACTTTTTATGATATTGGGACATTACCTGAAAAATTTTAGTGTCCACTTACAAAAAACGAGAACATAGACTTTCTGTGACCATTGTCAGGCAAACCAGGCAAACAATAAAAATATTAAAAATTAGGGCGCCTGGGTGGCTCAGTTGGTTAAGCGACTGCCTTCGGCTCAGGTCATGATCCTGGAGTCCCTGGATCGAGTCCCGCATCGGGCTCCCTGCTCGGCAGGGAGTCTGCTTCTCCCTCTGACCCTCCCCCCTCTCATGTGCTCTCTCTCTCTCATTCTCTCTCAAATAAATAAATAAAATCTTTAAAAAAAAAATTTAAACAGTTAATGAGTTAGGGGCACCTGGGTGGCTCAGTTGGTTGGGCATCTGACTCTTGATTTCAGCTCAGGCTATGATCTCAGGGTCATGGGATTGACTCTGTGCCGGGGCTCCGGGCTCATCAGGGAGTCTGCTTCTCTCCTTCTCTGCCCCTCCCCCTTGCTCACATGTGCACATGTGCTCTCTCTCTCTCTCTCAAATAAATCTTAAAAAAAGTTAATGAATTAAGGATATTAAGAACAGAATGCTATTGAATTATAAAAGCAGAGAATAAGAAAGGGATATAGAAATTTAAAATAGCAGAAACAAGTAGAATAGTTAGAAGATACAGTTAAGGAAATAGGACAGAAAATAGAACAAAAGACAAAGAGATGGAAAATAGATCAATAGAAAAAAAAAAAGAGGATAAATGCAGGAGAGCCAACATACACCCAAAACTAGAGATTCAGAAGAAAGAAGAATAAAAATAGGAGATTTTCAAAGATAACAAAAGAAAAATTCTGAGAACCAAAAATCACAAGTTTATAGGTCAAAAGGAACTACTCAGTGCCTAAAGATTATGACATGCCACATGAAAGCACATTACTGTAAAATTTCAAAAGTCTATGGATAATGAGAAGGCCTTAAAAACTTCCAGAAAGAAAAATGCAAGTGATTACACAGGATCAGGAATCAGAATGGCAACAGACCTCTTAAAAGCAACATACAAAGTGATATGGCAATGACAGCAATGCTTTAGAAATTTTGGGGACAAATAATTTCCAATCTAGAATTCTATATCCAGCCTAATTTGCAATCAAGTATGAGGGGAAAATAAAGAATTTCAGATAGGCAAGGTCTTAAAAAGTTATTTAGGTTCCATGCACCTGTTGTCTGGAAGTTTCTGGAATATATGCTCCACCAAATCCAAGGGGTAAACTAAGAATGAAAAGGACATAGGATAAAAGTAACAGGAGGTAGGAATGCAGGAGAGGAGGTAGGAATCCCTAGGATGACGGTGAAGGGAGGACTCAGGATGACAGCTGCGCTGCAGAGCAAGAGTACCAAGTTCAGATCAGAATTAGGAAGATGACTCTGAGAAGAAAATGACACTGAAGAATTTCTGATGTGTTTGGGTATAAAACAAGGAGCTTCTGGGGCACCTGGGTGGCTCAATCAGTTAAGCATCTGCCTTCAGCTCAGATCATGATCCCAGGTCCTGGGATCAAGCCCCACATTGTGTTCCCCCTGCTCATGCTCTCTCTCTCTCTCTCACGAGCACACGTGCAAGCACACACACACACACACTCTCTCTCTCTCTCTCTCTCTGTCAAATAAAATCTTTAAGAAAAAATAAAACAAGGAGCTTTTTTTTAGCTCTGTTGCAGAATTTGGGGATGGACTGTGATTCCTACATAGAAAACTCAGCAAAAAAGAAAACAAGGCCATTTTTAACATTAGGAAATGGTAATCATAGTATATATAATTTTTCTAGGCTAACTAGGTAAGGATTTAAAGATTGAAAACTGGTTTTTTGTTTTTAAAGATTTTATTTATTTGTCAGAGAGAAAGAGCACAAGCAGGGAGAGCAGCAGGCATAGGGAGAAGCAGGCTCCCACTGAGCAAGGAGCCCGATGCTGCGATCGATCCCAGGCCCCTGGGAGCACGACCCGAATGAAAACTGATTTAACTAAAGTGATGGAAGATGAGAAGTTTATGGTGGAGGAGGCAGAAAAGCAAATTCTTTTTTTTTTTTTAAGATTTTATTTATTTATTCATGACAGACAGAGAGAGAGAGAGAGGCAGAGGGAGAAGCAGGCTCCCAAGGAGCAGGGAGCCCGATGCGGGACTCGATCCCAGGACCGTGGGATCATGACCTGAGCCAAAGGCAGACGCTTAACCATCTGAGCCACCCAGGCGCCCCAGAAAAGCAAATTCTTATTCCAGGGTAGAAAGTCATTCTCTGAATCTGAAAAAAATCAAGAAATGACGATATAAGCTATCTAACATATGCCATAAGATATGTGGACCTAAGTACTAGCATAGCTAAAAAGGTTGCAAGTTGGTTGCAAAAAGGAAAAGGGAATTAAAAGTGGGGAAAGATAGGCCTGCTGTTTTTCACTATAATCCTAATTATATATATTTTTTAAATTTAATTTATTTGACAGAGATTGAGAGCACAAGCAGGGGGAGTAGCAGGCAGGGGCAGAGGGAGAAGCAGGCTTCCCATCAAGCAGGGAGCCCGATGTGGGACTCAATCCCAGGACCCTGGGATCATGACCGAAGCCGAAGGCAGTCGCTTAACTGAGCCACCCAGGCGCCCCCTAATTGTATTTTAAAAAACTATGTACATGTATGGAGAGCCTGGGTGGCTCAGTCAGTTGAGCGTCCAACTCTTGATTTTGGCTCAGTTCATGATCTCGGGGTCATGGGATCAAGCCCCATGACCGGCTCCACACTCAGCACAGAGTCTGCTTGAGATCCTCTCTCTCCCTCTTTGCCCCTCCTCCCGCTTACGCTCCCTAAATCAACCAGTAAATAAAATCTTAAAAAAATATGGACATGTAAAAACTTGATTAAAAAATACATAAAAATTGGGGTACCTGTGTGGCTCAGTTGGTTAAGCATCTGCCTTCGGCTCAGGTCATGATCTCAGGGTCCTAGGATGAAGCCCTGCATCAGGCTCCCTGCTCAGCGGAGAGCCTGCTTCTCCCTCTCCCTCAGCCTGTCTCCCCCTACTTGTGCACACTCTCTCTGAAATAAATAAAATCTTTTAAAAAAAACGTAAAAATGTAAAGATGTCTAAAGTCTAATAATGCTACCAAAATGCTGCCCATTTATATTATACCACCAGTTAAACCATGGTATACCACTAGTTAAGAGTGATTCTTTATTCTTATGACCTCACTCCTTATTAGTACATTTGGGAAACAATGTTCCCAACAGGAAACTATATTATACAAATTAAATACTGTTTGTATATAATTTTATATTGAAATGTTTTTTTAAAGATTTATTTATCTTGAGAGGTGGGGGCAGGCAGAGGGACAGGCAAAGAGAGTCTTTAAGCTGACTCCTTGCTGAGCGGGGAGCCTGACGCAGGGCTGGATCTCAGGAC